TCGAATTAAATTAGTGACGTAATTATTTTGAAATCAGTGATTCGTAAATTTTATTTATTTTGATTTGTAAGCTTATTATATAATAATAATAATTAAAACTTTTTACGATTGTGAATTTTCTTTATTAATTTATAATAATTAATACTTTTTAAGATTGTGAATTTTCTTTATTAATTTATTATGACTACATCATACAATAACAATATTTTATCAAATCAAAAAAAGGCTACTCATTTCATCTCCGAATATCACCTATTCCATTTCTGATTTCAAAATTTCAAAATAGAAATAGGACGTTTTTAAACCCCTATTTGTTTTTGAAATAAGTTAACTTTGAATCACCCTAATACGAATTTTAAACATATGCATCTTGACTATCAATAATGAGAACATATTTCGAAGACTATAACGATGAGATTTTTCAAACATCAAATGCATTCACTGAATCATGGAAACAGATTGCATACGATTCATAATTTGTTGCATATGACATTCCAATTAAATTAATCTCGCGGCATTTATAATAACTTTAGATTTTTTATAATCTTTAAAGTCATAAAACAGCTACGGAACTGACTACATGTTGGGTTTATTGGTCTGTTTACTATTTATTATTATTATTTTTTTTTTGCTCATATTTAGGAATAATGACCTATTAAAGATTGCATAAAAAAATAAATTAACATATAATCTTAACAAAATTTCGTTTTGTTCATTTCGCAAAATTATGCACCAATATAATAATAGACATTTTCGATATATTCTTAAACCAAAATTGTACCAATAATCGAAAAACGGGAATTGTTTTTTTTATTCACTTAGGTACTATTACTGTATTTTATTAAGAACTTTTCATTATGCAATATCAGATATGTCACGCATTTATCATCTACGTACGGTGCAGAAAAATTTAAAAACCTCAATATTTCTATGTAGCATACTGAAAATAAAATCCTAAATTATCGATCTCAATAAGCGAAGGGTCTAGAACTCTCAATCTCTTCGCATAAAAACAATAAACAAAGAACAATATGTATGTAAAACATGCTATTGAGAATGACAAATTTAGGTTACAGTACGTATCTCCAAGTTAAACTTTATTCTATATAAAGTAATTGAGGTTTTTAGATTTCCTGCACCGTATGTGCACTCATTGTTTATTACATAACTGATAATTGAGCTGTAAAACATAAAAACCATTTACATAATACGTAATACGTACATTATGCACTTCAATTATTTTTAGGTCGATATGCATGTTAAATATTATTATATCTTGTGGATAATTGCGCCTATTGTGATTTACACATTACATAAAAATTATTCGGTTATTAGATTATTGAACAAGAGAATGTTCTATATGCTTTCTTTGATTGACCCACCAATAATATTGTAATACGGAGTTATTAGACCGTCACTGTTTTAACCAAGTGTTTTTTTTTTCTTAATTCGAGTCGATTATTATTTAATTTATTTATGTTAATTGTTATAATTGTTATAATTATATATACAATATTTTTAATTTATACAGTAGACAAGCAAGCAATTTCAATTTGATTCTGTGACTATTATAAAAAATACTAAAATTATCTAATGATTTTATCTCTTTGGTTACACTCAAATATTCATTCCCCATCGAATTTAAGCTCTATAAACAAACAACCATCAAATTTTATGCATAATTTTTTATTTGCAAACTATTGTAATGTATCACATAAAACTAATATGCTAGTACAAAATCAACCTGGTACAGATGGTGTTTGCAGTGATTGACATTAGGTCAGCGAAAAATTTAATTTACTGATAAGAATTTATAATCTAAAATGCAAGGAATTGTTATATGTAAATTTATGTATTCTTGAAATAAAAAAATGCGGTGTTCTTAACAATTTAAAAGAAAATATTGTTCAAATACGATCTTTTTTTTAATCTGGAAGGTATTATATATGGGGGTTATTCAGTAGAAAGGGGAAGATCTACTTTTTGGCTAAAAATTTTTATTAGCTTAGTCAGATATATAATTTTAATAAAAAGTCAGTTTAATAATTTTTTAAGTTTCATATATAATCATAGTACCCGGTGTGACATGACTTTTTACACAGTGAAAAATTAGAAATCACGTGCATTACACAATTGTTTATATCACATGGCACATATAAATAATAATTTAAAAAATTGATCTACATTACTTGTTGTTATGATTTACAAAACCGTGATTTTCTCAAAATTTCTGATAAATCTAAATGGATATATAGTAATATTGATAAATCTTGGGCAGGTCGACTGGTCAACTTTTTGTAGTACAATTTTTCTGATCAGAATTAGTCTTTATATATAAATATATATCAAATGTCTAAAATGCCACCAATTTGTTTTTGCCAAATTTTAGTAATAGGGTGAATCAAAGTTAACTTATTTCAAAACAAATAGGGGTTTAAAAACGTCCTATTTCTATTTCGAATATTTGAAATCAGAAAATGGAATAGGTGATATTCAGAGATGAAATGAGTAGCCTTTTTTTGTTTTGATAAAATATTGTTATTGTTTGATTTAGTCATAATAAATTAATAAAGAAAATTCACAATCGTAAAGAGTATTAATTATTATTATATAAATAAGCTTACAAATCAAAATAAATAAAATTTACAATCACTGATTTCAAAATAATTACGTCACTAATTTAATTCGAAATCGGAAACCATGAGCATTAGGTTTGAATCACCTATTACTGTAGGTTCTCGAAATCGATAAGACAAATATAAAAAATTATGCTAACGAAGCATCATTTAAAAAAAAAACTTATACAGATATACATGATATTTGCTTTTAAAACGAAGGATAGGCATGATTACATTTCATAATTTCAATTTAATATTAAGGGTTTATTTAAAATGCACCTGCACAGCCACAGCTGTGCACTTTTTATGTTTTTTAAACTAACTCTGTAATATTCTTAAAATTTTACTAAGATAACCTCCATTGTCACCTTAACAAAAAATGCTCCTCTCACAAAGCTACTCTAGATTTTAATTTTAAATTAACCCTAACCATAACCTTAACCTAACTTTTATCCTTCTAACCCTAATCCTAATTATTGTTTACAGTTCATCATCGTTATAACAGACTCCGTTATAGCGGATACCTCGTTATAACAGGGTAATTCTCTGGAATAATTTAAAATTTTTATTATTATACTATATAACGCTATAGCGGATATTCATTATACAGTTCACCCTCGTTATGACGTAGTGAAATTTTGTCCGTTATAATGAATATCCGCTATAGCGTTATATAGTATAATAATAAAAATTTTAAATTGTTCCAGAGAATTACCCTTTTATAACGAGGTATCTGCTATAACGGAGTCCGTTATAACGAGGGTGAACTGTAACGGACAGAATTTCTCGGCCCGATCACTACGTTATAACGAGGGTGAACTGTATATGTTATTATAGGGTGCACAGCTGCGCATGGTGCACAAAATTAATAAATCAATCTTAATATTAATTACGAAATAATAAATGCCAAGAATTAATTTTATGCATACTTAATTACGCGTGAAAGGTCTTTAAATTCCGAATACTATAAACTTTGAACTATATAAAAATGGACAAAATTTTACTTGTTTTTTTGTTGAAAAAAAAAACAAAAAGCTATTCTAATCAGATTTATAGAAAACTGTTTACCTATCGAAAAAAAATCAGAATGTTTTTTTCTGCACCACTCTCGATTCTCAGTTCGCTATCATTTTTATATAACTCCTCCTCAAAACAAAAATCCACTTCATCAAAACAAAAACCCATTTCATCAGAACAAAAACCTACTTTGTCAGAAAAACCTATCCTATCAGAACAAAAATCCGTCTCCTCTTTCTTTTCCAAGAATTTTTTCAGGATCAATTCTACCTCTGTAAAGTCGCGCAAAATATTTAATAATTATATCGCTTTTGGTAATTCCTTCTCTGGTATGCTATCATTGTATCATAATTGATTGGTCAATGTTTATCGTTGCTAATTTTAAGTTTAATATTTTTTCCTTAAAAAAAAAAGATACCGGAAATAGTTACAAATTGACAAATAAAGTATGGCCAAATGATGTAAACTATAAAGGCCATTTTAGTAATGGTAAAGTTTGGACTGAATATCTTGCTGAACTACTCAATATCAAGTTGACAAATTACGCTTATGGTG